TTCCTGCTGTGACAGTGTTAATATACTGTAATTCACAAGAATGCACGTGATACATTTTTATATTCGGCAAGGAAAGATGATGTAATCGGCATGATTGTGTTACGTTATACATACGTGTACATTATATTGTTTTATATTAGCCATTTTTTCCTCAGTTGGCTGACAGCGTTCATGCAAGATGTCTCGAAAGTGTGTAAACAATCCAGATCAGTTTTGTTACGTGTGTGGTGATGTGACTTTTGCGTCTCAGAGACGGTCTATTACTCCACTAATAACAAAGGCATATCAGCTTTATTTCGGTTGTAAACTAGGTGATCAAGACAAACAGTGGGCACCCCACATCTGCTGTAATACATGTGCTTCAAGTCTGAGGAGCTGGTTAAATGGCAAAAAACGGTCTATGCGCTTTGCTGTCCCAATGGTTTGGAGAGAGCCTACAAATCATATTAATGATTGTTACTTTTACATGGTACCTTGTGTTGGACAAGCCACAGGTATGTCCAAGAAAAAAAAATCGGTTATTAACTACCCAAACATACCATCTGCGATGAGACCTGTGCCTCACAGTGACGAAAATCCTATTCCAAAACCCCCAGAATCCTACACTTGCGAATCAGAAAACGAATCAGATTATGGCGATCGAGTGATTCGTCAGGAAGAAGATATGCCATCAACGTCAAGAGATCCTGATTTTATACTGAGCACGTCATGCCACCAACCGCACAAAATAAAACAGTCAGAATTAAATGATCTTGTAAGAGATTTAGAACTTCCAAAATGTAAGGCAGAGTTACTTGGATCAAGACTGCAGCAGTGGAACTTGTTAGAAGACGATGTTTCGGTATGTGTTTTTCGTAAACGCCACAAAGACTTAGAACCATTTTTCAATATGGAGAATAACTTGCTTTTCTGCAGTAACATTAACGGCTTACTGGCGGCTTTAAATATAAACTATAACCCAGAAGAATGGAGATTGTTTATAGACAGTTCAATATTTAGTTTAAAGGCAGTGTTATTGCATATTGGAAATATTTTACCATCTCTTCCTGTAGGGTATGCAGTTCACATGAAATAATCATATGACAATATGAAGTACCTATTGACATGCATAAAATACGATGAGCACCAATGGCATATTTGTGGCGATTTGAAAGTTGTTACACTTTTACTTGGGCTGCAGCTAGGCTACACCAAATTTTGCTGTTTTTTGTGTAAATGGGACAGTCGGGCAAAGGCACTTCATTACACCAGACAAAACTGGCCTGTTTCGTCAAAAAAATGTACAGCATATGCCATTAGTAGATTCGAAAACAATTTTATTACCACCACTGCATATCAAGTTGGGCCTAATGAAAAACTTTGTCAAGGCATTAGATAGAGATGGGTCAGCTTTTCAATACCTACGTCAGAAATTTCCAAGACTAAGTGAGGCAAAGGTTAAAGAAGGTATTTTTGTTGGGCCACAGATTCGAAATATTTTGAAAGATGCACAGTTTGAAAACACTGCTTGGAATGATTTCCGTCTGGTGGTCACTAATTTCTTGGGAAATAGACAAGCTGACAACTATAAAACCCTTGTCTAAAATATGCTGTCATCGTATCAAAAGATGGGCTGTAATATGTCTCTTAAGATACATTTCCTACACTCACACCTGGACTTTTTTCCTGACAATTGCGGAGCCGTAAGTGATGAGCACGGCGAACGTTTTCATCAGGATATTTCAACAATGGAAAAAAGGTACCAGTGAAACTGGAATCCATCCATGCTTGCAGACTACTGTTGGACTCTTGGTAGAGATGCTCCAGAAACGATCCATAAAAGAACAGCAAAAAGACAGCGCATATAGTGATTCTTATAAGTATATGAATCTTGTTACTTTTTTTAATATATCCTTAAAAATAAAAAGTTTTTTTTCTAAACCGCAACTAATTTTTTTATTTCATTGTCATTTTTGGATTCAGCGCCCCAAAATTAACAAAGAACTGCACTTTTCCCACAAGATACAATTAAAAAACTAAAATTTGTTGTCCAGTGATAATTAGCTCCCCAAATTACCATATTCTGCAGAGCTTCGTTCACATGTAGCTATCGATAGTAAAAATGGAATTTTAGCACATTAAAGTCGCAAAAATGCATAGTATTGTAATATTTTGTTAAATAATTAGATCTGCATGTTAAACGGAATCAGGTACATGTTGAGCGACTTCAGATTCGGTTTTAGCGACCCAAAATACGTAAAACGAAGGCTTCAAATTGAGGTATCACGTGCTCCTCATCCCACTAAAAAATACAGACGATGGCACCCATCTGACGTCTTGAAATTTTCAGCTGCTTTTGATGTGAAATACGCATCACTTTTACCACCTCAAGCCAGCTATAAATCACCAAGAAGGTTCCTTCTTAAGAAATACTGTGTAATTTTTTATTAATCTTCTTCTATAACTGAAAAGATAGATATGGTCACCAAGAAAGTTTTTTTTAGGATCCACTGTGGAACGCCATTGCTATTCCTTCCTTACAAGCTAACAAAATTTTTTAGCAACAATTTTTAATTATTCTTCAAAAGTTTATGTACAGTAATATGCACTCGAATTATATAAGCACGATGAGGGTTGGGTTTGAAGCTAACATAGTAATATTCTCTGCGGAATCGGGTCCTCTCTCGATTTGACCCACAGAGATGCTTGGTGTTAAACTAGCTAATTTTAAAACACCAGGGATGTCTTTTAAGTTTTGCATATAGAAACATAGTAGGCCGCGCGGGTCGAACGTCAGTACTGAATCTTAACCTCACTCTTTAGTAACCTTAAATTCAAAGTATCACAACAATACGTGCAGTGTTCTAACTACAGTGAATCTTTAAGTGTCATCAAGTCATTAAACAAATGGAACTCAACCCAGAACATTTTCGCGCCATAATTTATTACAACTTTCAGAGACAATTATCGCAGCAAGAATGCCTTGCTGAGTTACTGTCTGTTTTCGGCAACGAAGCGCCACATCAGTCGACAATTTCCCGTTCGTATGGAGAATTCAAACGTGGACGGGTGAGTCTTAGCGAAAATTAGTTTCTCGTTGGATACCCTACCTGTTGACTGAAGAGCAGAAAGCAGCCAAGGTTAATTGGTGTCAAAAAACGCTTGACCATTTCAATTCTGGAAACTCAAAAAATGTGTACAGCATTGTCAATAGTTATGAATCGTGGATTTACTGTTATAAACCAGAAAATAAACGGCAGTCGGCGGATTGGGTGTTCCAAGGTGAAGAAAAGCCAACAAAAGTGTTTCGAAATATATATATATATATACATATTGATATTTGAAATCATGGTACATATTTCCGAAATAATATACCCATAAATTCTAATTTTACCATCCAAATGTGAATCAATGGACAGTTAGTTCTCTATTCCGTGGGAGTAAAATTTGTCGGGTTATTATTTTATGACTTGTAAAATAGTCTTAAATTTAATGTCGTGTTGCTTTAGATTTTGCTCTATCTGATCATCGTTATCCCTTATAACGTGGCAAAATAGCGTAACGTTTTTTCTTACTATTTTGATCGTTAACCAGTAATTTGAATTTCTCTTTATTAATGGGAGAGTGCCCATTCGTAGGCCAAACCCTTTAATATTATTTTCTTTTGCAAAATTTAATAGTTTATTCATTGTATAATTTCACACGTATTTATATCTTTCTTTCTCAGCGATTTCAGTATTGCGTTGAAATCTTTTGGACAGTAATGTTATAGAATTACTAACGACTATCTCAGACATTTCCTCATAAAATATCGTTGGTCCCCGTAGAGTTGATTCCGCCCGTTAGCAATCAGCGCCACTCTGTGGTTTCTGTACGTACTAATCCATATTTAGATTGGCATCAAGAGATTTTTTTTACCTATCAAGATACCTTCTTTACCGGTTTTTCTCCGTTTCTTTTGATTTGCTATCGAACCTACGTCTTTCAAGGCCACTAATACCAACCTTCTTTTAAAAAGTTAGATGTTCTGCGTTATTTTTACTTTCCTGCTGATATTGTGGTGTGGGCGTCTTTTCGTTAACTTCCAGATTCTGGGATATTAGATCCCAAACACCAGTTTATGAAGTACTCCTTTTATTTGGTATCTTACGTTTTGTCGTTTTAGTTTGGGTGCTACCCCGTCCATTTTCTTATGGGATTTTTACCCTTAGCGTAGGAAGGATTGCGGAGAACCACCATTCCCACTCCGGGAGTTTTGTTTTGTAGCTGCCTTGTAGCTGATATTGCTGAAAGCACTCATAATTATCCTCAAAAACTTATTTTCTATCCTTTTGAGAAAATTAAGTTGTGTAGGCAAATTATGCTTGAATGTGCGTGCGAAGTACTTCTAGTCATTTTTAATCCCTTGCTATCCGGTCGTTCGCACTATTATTATTAGAACCAACATCTGATGAGCAAGAGCACGCCGAGTAATCCCACGAGAACATGTGATACCGCGACATCTGTTACATTTAGAAGTGATAAAAAGCGTCTAAATAGCCTGGAAGTAGCTTACTTAAAAAACGGTACATCATGTGTCCACGTGTTACCACTTTACCGTGTGGCGCTTGGTGTCAACGGCGCGTGCTGGTACACGCGGCTACCATTTGTGACTCGGAAGAGTAGATATAATCTAGATTGGTTGTTATTTTACTACGGATCCTGCAAATCATTTACGATTGATATCGGCCGGGTTTCAGTGTGTTAGAGAGTGAGATAGTTACAATAATAATAATAATAACCCAGAAGTGGGTCCATATTAACGTTCTAAAGAAGTTCAGGTTCATTCATAAGATCACGCTTTGCCGAACATAATCCGCCAGACAAAACGTGTTGCATTTACACAGTATTGTGTCTAGTCCTCGCCCCGGCAAAATAAAAAGCTTATAAATAAAGTGGGGATTATCTACGTCATAAGCCTCAAAGGACCAGGGGTGCAATTTGTATTAGAATTGTAAATGACCGCTGACATTCTAAATTACCCGATTCGGAGCTGCAGATAAAATCAATTTTTTTATTACCCTATGCATTTGTAGGATTATTAACGGATTTTGGCGAAGCCTTTGAGTGCTCATGAAGATATAAGATAATATTAACATACAGAAGATGAGGACGACTTTTTGGGGGTAGGTGTTTCTTGTAGAGCTTCCAAAATATCTCTAAAACAGGGTGTTTCAGTTTATTGTTGCATAACTTTAAGATTCGACAGAACTTTTAAAATTAATGCATAAAGTCTATATAAACATGGGTCGAAAAATGCGTAGCTTCCGAAATACAGGGTGTTTAAATTTACTTTCTAAAATAGTTTTTTTTAAATATTTCGAAAAATATATGATGTATAACAGTGAAAATTGGTATACAAGGATTTTTTGGTACGACAAAACGAACCATGGGCCTAGTTTTACTGTAGCCGCTAGAGGGCGCTCTGTATTGTACCTGTAGTGTATTTAAATGACCAATTTTTTGCTTTTTGTATAAATAAATGATTTTTCGTACTTTTCAACATAAAAAAGCTCTCTTGTGAATTTTATTATAGTTAGCCGTTTTTGAGATACTTCGATTTTTAAGGTTCGATGCATTCTTAATTATCTATGATAAAATAACGTTAAAAAGTCAGATATTCATTTTGTGTATGGCTTTGTAAATGGAAACGTAGCAGAAGCAGCCAGAGAATACGCACGAAGATTTCCGAACAGACGACATCCAACTCGCTCAGTATTTGTAAGAGTGCCTTAAGGGACCGTTTCTCCACTACCAGGTCCATTGCAAATAAATGGTTTGCAGAACACGGAAGACTTATTGGCATGCGAAGTGTTTACCGACAAATGATAAGTTTCGTCTTGTTTTCATACCGGCCACACTGGGTCCTCCCTTTAACTCGAGAACACCGACGTAATCGCCTTGAGTGGTGCAGACAACGGTCACTCTGGGATCAGGAATGGAACAATATTGTCTTTAGTGACGAGTCTCGATTTTGTTTAGGCATGCACGATGGTTGTGCCAGGGTTAGAAGGCGAAGTGGTGAAAGGAGGAATCCACAGTTTCTTTTTGAAAGACATGTTCATCACACTGTTGGAGTTATGGTTTAGGGTGCTATAGCTTATGGTTCCAGATCACCTTTAATCTTCATCAGAGGTAACATGAATGCGCAGCGTTACATCTAAGAAGTTCTAGAACCCCATCTTTTACCCTATCTTGACACCCTGGCAGATCCAACTTTCCAACAAGATAATGCCCGACCACATGTTGCAAGAGTCACAATAGACTTCTTTCAACATAATGATGTCACATTGTTACCATGGCCACCAAGATCTCCAGACTTATCCCCAATTGAGCACGTGTGGGATATGATGTGTAGGAGATTTCTCAATTTGCAACGTCCTCCTCAGATTCTAGAAGCACTTCGAAAGGAGTTGGTGGTTGCCTGGAATGAGATACCACAGGAGGACATTGACCACCTGATCAGAAGCATGCCTAGACGCGTTGGAGAATGCGTAGCACATCAGGGTGCATCCACACATTATTACAGGTCAAAGGGCTTTAAAGCAGTGTAATCATTTTGAAATTTTTATCATTTACTTATTATGCTTCATTAAGTACTTATACAAAATTTTATAAAAATAAAACCATTTAAACTGGGTGTTCGGATTTATATGTCACTTAGTATATTTTGTGTACGAGATTTATCGCAAAATCATTTATTATTTGTCCTGACTTTATTTGAGATGGGGTTTCAGAGTAAATTACATGTTGTCATTGTCACCTTTTCTTGGTTTCAAAATGGCAAAGCTTTATTTTTTTTTCATATGGACTATACTTGAAATCCAAGAGAAAACCTGGAAAATATTAGTATCTAACATGACCGCTAGGGGCGTAACTACAATCTTAAATCTAAAAAAGTGATCTTTCTGTGAATTACGCTATTTTAACCTAACAACATAATAGCTGATCTTTAAAGTCGAGGATAAAATTCCTTTTGTTATTAGCGTTACTTACTTACCTTTTAGCGATATTTTGTAATAAATTCAAAAAGGCTGCTTTTATTGTGATGAATAAAAAAGAATTACAGGAACCTTGTTTAAAAGAATCTAAATTTAAGAGATTTCCCTATAAAATCTTTGGCCTAAATTTCACGTTAGGAGCAAGATATAGAGAAGCGGCTTTCACGAACTTGTTTACACTTAGCTACTTCTTTATTGAAAAAGTCATACCAGTGCGTTTAATTTTTCGAGAAAATTATTCATTTGTCGGAATGTCGAAAAAACCCTCTAGCAGCCACATGAGGAACAAAACTTCAAATTATAGCATTTGTAGCCCAAGAATAGCTCTTTTTAACGTGTTAAATTCAGTAATAACTGTTTTTGTTGCACGCCTCTGCGATCGATAGGTTCCTAGATACAGTACCTCTCATTCTAAGTTGGTCACCCTGTACACTTAGTGACAGATTTCCTTAGTTTACCATCAATTTGAAAAACGCGGTAGAGTGAGACAGTTTGAACACGTTTCCAAAGAAAAAGTCCCTTTTCTATAGAGAGACGACAGAGCCAAGGATAAGTTTCAATTTTTCTTTGAATACAATCTATAAACCATTCCCTCCTGAGAAATTTGATAATCTGTTCCACACAAAAAAAGAGTGCTATTGATTCAAGAGCATGAGTTTCTATGAAATTATGATATTGATTCGAGATCACAGATGCTTCAAATTAAGTAATTTCGTATGTTTTTCCTCAATTGAAGATAGTTATTTTGTTCTTGATCCGAGATCACTCTTTTTGTGTGTAGAAAATTCTTTATAAGAATCATGTTTCCGATGCGACGAATTTTTTTTAAATGCTATAGCAATTTGATATCTTTCTCAAATCGCCTTAAAAAAATATCACCTATATATTACGCGAAGTCAGTTTTAACAAAACCTCATAGTGAGCAGAGGATATTTGCACTAAATTGTAATACCGAACTTGAAGACACGCGTAATCTGAATAATCCATCATGCATTTAATGTACTGTAAATAATGTATGCTAAGTAGCCTAAAGCTAAAGCGTTGAACGCTATTAATCAGAACAGGCATCTATACAAATAAAATAGCTGGTAACGCCCCTGAAAAAAGGGTTGCTTTCAAAAGGTGCCCTTTCGGGGATTATCTACGGTCTAACCATGCAAAATGGCACTACATCGGATAATACAGTAACGAACATTGTTTGTTTATGCTTGTTTTTTATCGATCCTCCCCGTTTCGAAGGCGTGTATCTATGGAGCACTTGAGGAGATAGAAATAGAAATCTGTCTATAAACGGAAAATCCGATAAAAGCAAATACCCGCAGCAAAACAAATTTCCTCTTTTACACTATGGATTTAAAGGATCTGCATTCAAAATCCTACCAAACCACTTAATTGACAGAAGTCAAAAAACGTTGGATCCACATTATTAAGCTCAAAAATTATTTCTGAGGTGTACCACAAGGTGGTAAACTAGGTCCACTACCATTCATTTTATATATTAATTACATTTGCAACATTTTAGATTATTGTGACATTCAGATATTTGTAGATGATACATTAATATACTTATCAGCAAGAATCATGAATTAGCTAAATGTACATAACTAAAATTAAATGCTGCTAAAACAAACTACATGATATGCTAAAATGGAAAATACAAAAATAAACATACTATCACAGAGTAAATGGTGAAATAATTGAGAAGACTGGTACTGGTCTTCTGAATATAAAAAGGGAACAAACCAAGAATCTTGGACACAGAAAAGAAAGTAAATTTTCACTAACAGGTGCGATAGAAAAATACCGTATTTCAGCTGCTTTCATAAGATCTTCCGAAGAAGAAAAATAATATGAGATGACATTTTCACATCGCAAGCAGAAACTAACATTCATTTGTTACCAAATTACAATCTTTTCATGATGAACTGCTATCGAAATGAATAAGTATGGCATCCTAGGTAGCACGTATATTGGAGTAGAAGAAAGGGAAAAAATCTGCTATGCAAATAAAGGTATACTATGCTCAAAGTTATGGTAGTTATTTACTGATAATTTGTCGCCTCTAAACGGCATTCCATTTGGAGAATAAGTAGTATCATTAAGGCTGTATGGTGTGAGGCTTTGCAAATAGGTACTTGGTTACCCTACAATTTGTTTTCAGATGAAATTATCCCCCTATTAGCAAAACAACTTCCGAGGCATGTGTTTAGGAAACCGAAAATTTACGGCACGCGTCTGACGCGTGCTGAAACCCCGATACGTGTTGACACGTGGCTTGTTGATGGGACGCACTCTTTTACGCCCTGATACCTACTTCATTTTTTAAGCATTATATTGCCTAACAGTTCGTTGGTTTGTTAGAGTTTTTATACATTGATACTCTGCTCTTAGGATAACATTGTTTGAGCGTGTGAACGTAATTCATAGGTGGGTACTGGTTAGTTTTAAGGCTATTATATTCCAGGATAAATGCAGCCATCTAGCGTTATGTTTTTCGTTGTCACTTTGAAAGTTGTTTTCTGTATATTTAATTTTATCATTCACCTGCAGATGGCGCTACATACTTTGTCTTATTTTAACTGAAGTCCATAGTGGCGCTGAGTAACTATGTAATAACATGACGTCGATTTTGTATCACTAGATTAAGCATCATTTCATAAAATTTTAACTCATCATATCATTATTTAATATGCATCTATATCACATAATTTTACAACAAGCATTTCTTTGCAACGCCTACTTGAATAAAATAAAAAAAGTATTTTTCTTTATAACTAAGAAAACAAATGTAGCATGTGATATATTGTTGAATTTGTACAAAGGGATGCCATCCTTTTTCGGACCATATAAAAAAATAGAGTTTATGATAGTTTCTGAAAAACAAAACGGTGGACACAAAATTTGAAAACACCATCTAAAAAGTTCCATCTACTGAAAGTGTTCTGAATGTACAAATAAACTCGAATAATTACCTTGGAATAAGATCAATATAAAAATTAAGATATGAACAAAAAATTCAGTTACAGTAAAAATCGTGGGGTGTTTCATATTGAATGTTAGAGTTATAACTAAGTGACATATAAATCCGAACACCCAGTTTAAATGGTTTCATTTTAATAAAAGTTGGTGAATGTATTTATCTTACTGTAGATAACAGCCTTATCAGTTGGACATTCCGGTTTTTATACTGCTTTTTTTTAATTCACTAACGCTCTAAAAATGAATATTTCAGCCGCAGTAAAGAATCAACGTTGGCGGATTTTGGTTCTTGACATCCTTTACGATCGGTTACGATGCCTAGAGTACGGAGACCTGTACGATTTCGTCAACTTAGCGAGTTTGATAGGGGCTGGACCTTCTTTTCGGGCAATTGCAGTTAGAGTGCAAAGAAGTGTAGACACTGTGGTTAGGTGTTGTCAGGCATGGCTTCGAGAAGGCCGTACGCAAAGAGCAAGGGCCACTCTACGCCGCCGTAGAACAACAGACCGTGAAGATCGTCGCCTAAGATTATTGGACTTAAGGGACCCTTTCTCCACTACCAAGTCCATTGCAAATGAATGGTTTGCAGAACACGGAAGACCTATTGGCATGCGAACTGTTTACCGACGAATGAGAAGTTTTGGCTTGTTTTCATACCGGTCACACTGGGTCCTCCCTTTAACTCGAGAACACCGACGTAATCGCCTTGAGTGGTGCAGACAACGGTCACTCTGGGATGAGGAATGGATCAGTATCGTCTTTAGTGACGAGTCTCGATTTTGTTTAGGCATGCACGATGGTCGTGCCAGGGTTAGAAGGCGACGTGTGAAAGGAGGAATCCACAGTTTTTTGTTGAAAGACATGTTCATCACACTGTTGGAGTTATGGTTTGGGGTGCTATAGTTTATGGTTCCAGGTCACCGTTAATCTTCATCAGAGGTAACATGAACGCGCAGCGTTATATCCACGAAGTTCTAGAACCCCATCTTTTACCCTATCTTGACACCCTGGAAGATCCAACTTTCCAACAAAATAATGCCCGACCACATGTTGCAAGAGTCACAATAGACTTCTTTCAACATAATGATGTCACATTGTTACCATGGCCACCAAGATCTCCCGACTTATCCCCAATTGAGCACGTGTGGGATATGATGGGTAGGAGATTGCTCAATTTGCAACGTCCTCCTCAGACTCTAGAAGCACTTCGCGAGGAGTTGGTGGGTGCCTGGAATGAGATACCACAGGAGGACATTGACCACCTGATCAGAAGCATGCCTAGGCGCGTTGGAGAATGCGTAGCACATCAGGGTGCATCCACACATTATTAAAGGTCAAAGGGCTTTAAAGCAGTGCAATCATTTTGAAATTCTGTCATTTACTTATTATGCTTCATTAAGTACTTATACAAAATTTTATTAAAATAAAAAAAAGAAAAATTCACATTTTTTTCCAAAATTTACAGAAATTTTTCAAAATTCCCAAATCCTTAAATTATTTACAAATTTTTCAAATATTATCAATCCGAATCAAACTTTTTTATTTTAAGTTTTCTATTTACCTTATATTCCGAATTAATTAGGTATATAATACTTGACTGTTAGACTGCCTATTGCAGTACTCACACTCTCCTATATGGTGAAAATTGTTTTCTACTTTTTAGTTAGGTTACTATTGAAGTGTTTTGAAGTGTTTCTTTTCAGTTTTTAGAGACTATAATTTATTTTCGGATGTTTTTGTCTCAAAACAACGACAAAAGTACTCATTATCAGAAATTTACATTAAAATTTTTTCAAAGCAAAAATTTACCATTTTTTTACAAAAATTTCATTTTTTCAAAATTTTCAAAATCGCCAAATCCCTTGATCATTTACAAATTTTCCAATTATTAATATTCTCAAATCAAATTCGTTCCCAAGTTTCATAATTCAAATTTTGTAAATATTTTCCGAGATTTTTGTCATTATTATTATATTATTATTGTCATAGGGCTTCTACCCCTGAGCACATTGTGAGGTTATTAGAGTTTTTGGCATTGGTGAAAATTAGGTTGAAATATTCCTTTACACACAAACAGGTCAATCTATACTAAGTGACATATAAATCCGAACACCCAGTTTAAATGGTTTTATTTTAATAAAATTTTGTATAAGTACTTAATGAAGCATAATAAGTAAATGATAAAAAATTCAAAATGGTTGCACTGCTTTAAAGCCCTTTGACCTTTAATAATGTGTGGATGCACCCTGATGTGCTACGCATTCTCCAACGCGCCTAGGCATGCTTCTGATCAGGTGGTCAAAGTCCTCATGTGGTATCTCATTCCAGGCAACCACCAACTGCTCTCGAAGTGCTTCTAGAGTCTGAGGAGGACGTTGCAAATTGAGCAATCTCCTACCCATCATATCCCACACGTGCTCAATTGGGGATAAGTCGGGAGATCTTGGTGGCCATGGTAACAATGTGACATCATTATGTTGAAAGAAGTCTATTGTGACTCTTGCAACATGTGGTCGGGCATTATCTTGTTGGAAAGTTGGATCTGCCAGGGTGTCAAGATAGGGTAAAAGACTGTTCCATTCCTGATCCCAGAGTGACCGTTGTCTGCACCACTCAAGGCGATTACGTCGGTGTTCTCGAGTTAAAGGGAGGACCCAGTGTGGCCGGTATGAGAACATGCCAAAACTTCTCATTGGTCGGTAAACACTTCGCTTGCCAATAGGTCTTCCGTCTTCTGCAAACCATTCATTTGCAATGGACCTGGTAGTGGAGAAACGGTCCCTTAAGGTCAATCATCTTAGGCGGCGATCTTCACGGTCTGTTGTTCTACGGCGGCGTCCAGTGCCCTTGCTCTTTGCGTACGGCCTTCTCGAAGCCATGCCTGACAACACCTAACCACAGTGTCTACACTTCTTTGCACTCTAACTGCAATTGCCCGAAAAGAAAGTCCAGCTTCCCGAAGTCCCACTATACGGCCCCTATCAAACTCACTAAGTTGACGAAATCGTACAGGTGTCCGTACTCTAGGCATCGTAACCGATCGTAAAGGGTGTCAAGAACCAAAATCTGCCAACGTTGATTCTTTACTGCGGCTGAAATATTCATTTTTAGAGCGTTAGTGAATTAAAAAAAAGCAGTATAAAAACCGGAATGTCCAACTGATAAGGCTGAAAATTTGTTCACTTGTTATTTACAGTAAGATAAATATATTCACCAACTTTTATTAAAATAAAACAATTTAAACTGGGTGTTCGGATTTATATGTCACTTAGTATATTAAAAGCCTGTTCAAGAGCTGCTTATTTTTCTCACGAAATTTCTGCAATGTGGGATCAAAGGGAATTACCAGCAAGGCTCGGATACAGGTTCGCAGTGCCATCTGTGGGTAACCCTTAGAACGCGTTATGGTAGAAAATCACCCTTCGAGAATCGACCGGAGATAATTTTTTTCAGTGGGCTGCACACTGTTACCCTCTATTGATCGAAACACAAGGCTTGCATAACAAAGGGAAATATTTATTCTGCTCAATATGTAGCTACGTAGTGTATATATAGTGACTCAATAGATGGCGACCGCCTTTCGTCCAAATGAATAATTGAGATTAGCGAATATTTTTATTTACCACATTCCTATAAGGATCAGTTAAAACAGGGCTGTCCAACTTAATGTGGCCCAAGGGCCAATTAAAAAAAAAATGCAGTTTGGAGGGCCGCATTATAAAATCTTTCTATACAACATTATTACTGAGTTTTCATAGGAATATACTGTACTATATTTGAGAGAAATTTATACATGTGTTGTATACATGACCCATTTGCATCAAAATTGAAATAAATAAATAATTATAATCAAAATATAAACAATTAAATGTTTAAACAGACCTCCTTCTTGGGTTTGACATTAACCTAGCCTATTGTAGAAACCCGTGCGAACATTTTCTGGTGTAACATCCCATATAGCACACAACATCTTTAAGAAGTCTTATTTATGTCCTAATGAGGTCGTTATGTCTAAAGACCTGAAAAAGATATCTCTCAGATGTCTTACTAGAGATGTGTTTAAGACATCTGGAATGTAACATCTTTAAGATATCTTTTCCATATCTTTTGTGGCTGAAAATAATATTCCAAGTATCCAACTGACTGTTCTAAGTATTATAGCTAAAATACTAGGTGCAATAGTTTTAGAGAAAAAAACAAATGCTTTTGTATATTCAAAAAAAAAACTCAAAGCAGTAAAAAAATGGCCGCTTGACATTGACATAAGTCAATTGCGTTGCCCTATGGCTATGGATGACACGGGACTGTTCTCGCTTTCTCAGTGTTATGTGTTCTGTGAGCTGAAAGTACAAAGTGCGTAATGAGGTTGTGGTGCCTAATTAATGCTAATTAATCTATGTGTAATCACTGTAATCTGTACGAAAACTGTCTTTTCTGTAGTTCGCGGGCCTGCCTGCAAGTTGAAGGGTATGTATTTGTGGTTATCATCAGTTTTTTAGCTGGAATGTGTTTCTTAACCTTGTCTGATTTTCGCCCTTTAATGCGTGTTCTTTACTCTATAGATTCTCCGTGGATTCTCCGTTGTGGCGTGGTTTGATCAAGAGTAGGTCCTGCCATGATTTTCAGAGTCATTGCTTGCTACAACATTGGCAAAGTCAAAAAAGGACGCTGAAACAGCAATTCAGTTATGGCTGAGAAGAGCATCTGATAGAAATACCTATCAAATGAATAAAAAACTTTAAACTTACGCTATACATTGTATTTTCCATTCCAAAATATATGGTCTAGATTTTTTCAATATTCAATTGTTTTATTGTAGAGTTATAGTTTTTATCGAAAAATGGGGTTAAAACAAGTCTTAAAACTGTTATCAAAAGACATCTTAAAGTCGTCGTCAACAGACATCTCAAAGATGTCTTAAGGATGTTAGGATTTGTAACATACGTACATTTATAAGACGTATATGAGACATTTTTCCGGAAATCCAAGATATCTTTAAGACAACTTGAACGTACAGAGTAAGATATCTTTTGAACGTTTTTAAGATGTCGTTGTGCTATATGGGATATTGCTAGGAAATGTGGTGAGGTGACGACTTTCGCTCATCAGCCAGTTTCTGTCTCTGTCTAACATACACACTTATCGTGCTACTCTCGTACACATTAAACTCAAGCCGTCAGACACAATTTGATTTTCCATCTATATGAATTGTGCTTACACGTGTTTAAACATAATGATAAATTCAAACGAAACGGCTGTTTATAATTTATGTGTAAACATAAACACCAATTCCTACCTAATGAAATTGGTCATCTTCTCTTTAATAATTTACCAAGCTAAATGTTAACCAATTCAAGCTCCACTTAAGGTAATTTTTGATACACAAAATGCTAAGGATTTTTTAACATTGTCATTTGATGATTCCAGCACAATTGTAAGTGTCTCTATTCAAATAAAGGTTTAGGTTTTGGATCAATCGCTAGTGAGACCCTATGTAGAAATTCTTTTCGGACCTCGTAGCGGCATGACTGCTTTGTTCTCGCATTTTTTGTCCATAGATTCCTTAAACAATTTAATGGTATGTCTCTGCCACTCCAATTGCTGTTCTTCTTTCTAGGTATCCGGTGGTGATCATAGTAGGCAATACGGTGCTTTGAATTTTGCAAAAAATGCAATAGCAAGGATCCTAATGATACTTGGTAGTCCTCATATACAGGGTGGCGCATCGAAAACGAAACAGACGCATTCACTGGCAGCTCAGTTTTTTTTTTAAAAAACGCCCAGACCCGTCGATTTTGTTTTCGAGTGGGACACAAGTTTGGCAAAAAATCACGTTAACACGAGCAGCCCCCTAAAGCGGGGGTGACACCACCCCCAAAATCTTAAATGGAAAGGGGGGTCGAGTGATACCTTATTTTAAACGTCTTTCAATTCCCTTTATAATGATCTAAAATTAATGTACTTCAGTTCAGTAGTTTTGAAGACTTATTGATTTGAAGCTTAAATAAAATTAATACATCATCATTAGTGGAGATCAATACATTTGGGGTTTTAGAATCCTTTGGACAGTACGTCGACTAACACCACACACAGTCTCCAATTTGCGGGTACTTAACGTAGGATCTACATAAACTTGCCCTAAAACCCCCACTTCTATTGCTTCGTTCCTTATGGGATTTTCAATGTTGCGTTTTTTATTGGCGACTGACCCAGTTTCCCGAAATTTAGCTACAAGTTCTAGAACATATTTTCGATGCACGTTCATGTCGCTCATTAAATATTTCTGCTGTTCTATTAGCGCACTGATTATTTCCGAAAAATATTTCGATAATTTCAACTCTTTCTGCTGTGGAACATATCATGGTTAATTTATGTAATAAAGCGTTACAAGTTATTTTAGCAACAAAGTCTGGTCAAATCAATCGCAAACTATGTACTAAATTTTATTTAAAATAAGTACGAGATATTGCCTTATCTTTCTTCAAGAAATAACTTTTTTGCCACAAAAAAAAACGCTCCAATAGCTATTTTCAACAACAACAAAATGATAAACAAACCATGGGCGTAGTGAAAAAAAGCATTTACTTATTAAGTAAATTCTTTTAGTCAAATTTCTTCTGAAAGTATTACAAACTAATCTGATGTACCTATTAAAGTCTACTTTAAGCCTTAAATCAATAAATCTTCAAAACTACTGAACTGAAGCTCATGTACTTTACATCATTATAAAGGGAATTGAAAGACCTTTAAAATAAGTTATCACTCGACCCCCCTTTCCATCTAAGATTTTAGGGTTGGTGCCACCCCCGCCCAGGGGGGTGCACGTGTTAACGTGATTTTTTGCCAAACTTGTGTTCCCCTTGAAAACAAAATCGACGGGACTGAGTGTTTTTCCAAAAAAAAACTGAGCTGCCAGTAAATGCGTCTGTTTCGTTTTCGATGCGCCACCCTGTATATGGCTAGAAATAATTCCAGATATCAGCGAATACTACATTTTATTGGATTTGTATAGATCCACATCCTATCTTTAAGACTATCAGGTCTTGTTATATAGCTTAAATTACAATTGTACATTATTATGCGATCGATAAGGGCTCGTGATTTTGAAAATTGATATGGTAATGTATACAGGGTGGCCCAACGAAAAGGTCGCACTCCCAATTGTGACTCTTCTGGTATATTTTGGGAAAAACGCCCAGACACGTCAATTTTGATACAATACACGGATATCCAAATGTAATATGTTTTTAAATGAAAGCCCTTATTCTTTTAATTCTTAGATTTTCCTTGAAGTTTTTAGTACCTATTGTTGGGCCACTCGATATATCAACAGCCCTGCTTGGGTTACTATGAAGAGGGAGCTTAGTATGTCAACACTTTACTACTTAACGAAAGTGCAGATTTATTGCCTATTAACTAGTAATCGCTCGCAAACTTGAGCGTCTGCACGGTAAACGTGACACCCCAAGGAACATTTCCTCACAAAGTTCTGAAATTGCTAGTTTCATCGCACACACTCCACTTTACGAGAGCCTATTATGGGCACTTACTGAAAGCAATAGATCTTTTTCCCAAAAAGAAATTCTACTCGGACAGATCAAAAAACACTTCGATATTTGTCATGATGATCACTATGACAGGACATAATACATGGCGTGCAAAATCATCAATCAGTTGAGCGACGATATATCCTTGAAGCACGTTTGAACCTGGATATGCGAGTACTCAAACTTCCGTGAATTATAGTATCCACACTAAGAATAACAGGGTCACTTCGCGATCAAACAAGTCCCCTTATACAGGGAACAGAACTCCCCACCTCGGATTTATCGGGAACCACTGATTAAAAGAAAAGGCGTCGAAACATGTCAAAAGATTTGGCAAGAGGACAACGTTTTAACTCAAAACTACTTCACCTCAAGGTCATTCCCTTAAAAATTTGAAATGACAAGGGTATCGAGTAATAGCTTGTTTGAAAAGTCTTTTGATTTTTTTAAATCAGTCGATTCGTTTTCGAGAAAATTAAAAAAAAATCAATATACCATATAAGTTTTTCTATACAATTTCTTTTACAACAGTGTTCACAAATGGTTCGCTTGAATGTTTCCAAAAAGTAGCCCTAGTAGTTTTTCATATGCTTATGAAAGGTCAAATCGCCGAAATGCAAATGGAGAGACAAATAAGAATAGTTTGATATGATTTGTCGAACTTGCACCAAAAATTTTTTTAAAGGTGCCCTTCCGTTTTGAGCTGGATACGATCTTGCGATTATAATTGCAATATATAAATATATATATATATATTATTCATATCTAATTGCCTTAACTGTTAGGAGAAAATATAATTTCTTTGGGTGCATAAGCACATTTTTATAACTTAAACTCAAGCTTTCGAAGGTCTATGCCCTCATCGTCTGGAGCTGAAAATAATTTTTGAAGAATAGCAACAATAAACAATTAGATTTGGAGCAAATTTATTTTAATTTCCTAAAGTGTGAAAATTCCCTATATATTACATAGCTCTTTGGTAGGATAACGTCCAAATCACACTCCTTCCACAACAACATCTATCAAATTTGAAAATAACGCTGCACCTCATCGGATAACGAAAGCACACCCTCTCACACTATATTACAGAACTACCTACATAGTAGGCAAAACACATCACAGGTACGAAAGGTCCAATGACCTTTCAATAACTACAATGTCACACTTCATATGTCACTGTAGAATGTCAGTCGGCCGCACGTATTGAACAATGTGGAGGTTATCAAGGAAAAAGGAAATAATTCTCGAAGGATTTTTCAATAGTTTATAGTTTTTCAAGTTCTTCCAAACCAATCAGTGTTTAATGAAAAATAATTTTTAAGGATTTTAAAGAAACATAGCTACGATATGCCATTTATTAATAAAATAATTCCGTCCTAAACGAAGCTTATCAGTCCGGTTCTTTATTCGTCGACTATGTGTTCCCTCCACTTTCGTTTAAGAACAATTTAAGCAACAATCTCGCGGACTTAGTAATTATATATTTTTTCCTCTTAATTGTTTATTGTTGCTATTCTTCAAAAATTGTTTCCAGTTCCAGACGATGGGGGCATAGATCTTCGAAAGCTCGAGTTCAAGTTATAAGAGTGTGCTTTGCAATAAGAAATTCAAGGATATATATATATATATATATAACTTGAGACGTGGTCATTGTCGTCTAGACCAGTTAGGTGAAAAATTAAAGCTTCCGCCTTGTGTTGGGCACTTCGACAAAAATTTTAAGCAAAGAGGACTCTTTATACTTTTTTTATTCTCTCTAGCTTTCAATGGACTTTGCCATCATCATCAGGAGCTGCAATTACATTGATATACTACTATATACTATATATACACTATTGCTGCTACTGTTATCAATGCAATTGCAGCTCCTGATGATGATGGCAAAGTCCATTGAAAGCTAGAGAGAATAAAAAAAGTATAAAGAGTCCTCTTTGCTTAAAATTTTTGTCGAAGTACCCAACAAAAGGCGGAAGCTTTAATTTTTCACCTATATATATATAAAATTACAAATGTAGAGCGAGTTTTTACGATTGTAGAGCTTGTGTTATAGCACCCTGGACTGAGAGGTTTCTCCGTCAGTGATCCTGCTTGCGCTGAATCTGTATACGCGAAATCCCGCACAATCGCATTCATCGGTATTTTTTCGCATGGCAGGAGGCCGTGATATATTTTCACCCTTCGACGGACATCAAAGGATACACAAGAGCGTGCAACTGGTGGT